ACCTTAAGACTTTATTTGAAACACCTTAAGAAGTTTAATAAATTCAATAAAACTCTATCACTTTTCTTTATTCATTCATTTGTGTGTGCACAGAACAACATGAATGATTTAGAGATCTTGGCTCTGATGATTGCCACTCTCTGCCATGACCTGGACCACCGAGGAGTCAACAACTCCTACATCCAGAGGTACAGGAGGACAATCCCTGAGCAGAGAAGGAGCTCTGCATAAACACCTGTGTGTTTTTATGATGGACACTGTTTCTTTATGTGTTCTGGATAGGAGTGATCATCCTCTGGCCCAGCTCTACTGCCACTCCACCATGGAGCATCACCACTTTGATCAGTGCCTCATGATTCTCAACAGCCCTGTAAGTGTGCGCACACACACGCTTGTTTTTATATCCCCGTGGGGACCACGGAGTGACTTCCATTCATTTTCTGGTAATTTTATAGCCTTACTCTGATCATTTACCCTAAAATTAACCTCACAGGTACCTACCTGACCCTAAAACTATCTAAACTCAATTCACTCCTTGGTCCTAAACCCAACCCCCCGTACCTGAAATTAGTATCCGTACCCATGGGGACTGGGCATTGGTCCCCTTGGTGTACATTCGGTCCCCACGAGGCTGCCTTTCCACGATGTTGCAAAAACATGCCCACACACACAAACACACACACACACACACACAAACACACACACARGTATGTGTTTGATGACATTTAACTCACATYTTATTTCTTCACATCTGTCCAGTAGTATGCTCTTTTGCTGCAGGAGGTTGTTCGCTCTTTTGTCTGTTTTGCATACCCAAGATGTGGCGTAGGAACATAATCCACAGTTTGGATTATTAATTGCCATGCCAGAAACAAACTGCAGATTACACACTTTACTGTTTTTGTCCAGGTGTAGTCATGAAGGCGAAGCACAATGAGCTTTCTTCTTGTTGCAGCTTTGCTTGATTTTCCTAGAGGAAATTGGAAAAAGGAGCAAGCTTCTCCTTTATTTTTTACTCGATCACGTTGCCTTGAACAATTATACACACTACAAAAGTCACTTGGAAGGAATGTAAACACTCGACTCGCACGGCAAATGATCCCCCTTACTTCTGGTGAATGTGCGAAAAAAAAACCTGTGCGCATGTGTTATGACCGAAGTGGGCGAAAGGTCTATTCTCTTCATGTTACGGGAATATTTGTGAAGTTGATGACAGCGGGAGAAGGGTCCATCTGCAGCTGCTACAATTACTGAACAGCAAGAACAGCTGATCGAGGTAAATGTTCGCTACATCAGAACTTATTTGGCAAATGTGTTTCTATCCCCCTCTTTTGCGCATTAACTCATTTTGGGAAAATCCAAAAACCACCTCAAGCGAGTGTAAAAACATTTTTGCGAAATTGAGGATGTTTTCACAAATTTTGCCATTTCCATCCACCTCTTCGAATGTGGTACTTCAAAAATGTGCATGAAAACAGTGCTGGAATTACAGCTACAGAAAGGCTCCAGCCTAGAGTTCAGGGCTTTCTGTATAACAAGATGTAACAACAGGTCTTGTTGATGTGACTGTAGGTGGTCTTTTTTGAATAAATCTGTAAAGATGTCTGTATTTTCTCACAGCCTCGGTCAGCTGCTCCCCTCAGCAGAGTAGCTGAAGTTTTAATGACACCATTGTAGTTTAGCTGCTTCTCTGCATGAACACACCCTCAAAGTTTAGGTGCTCTGAAGTTCTGCCTGGTGGTGATACAGAAGACAAGGTCTCAAACATTCYTCATGCAAACTGTTCCACCTTGGTGAGATCTYGATGTAATCAGYTGATGTTTTGTTGGTGCTGACTGAGTGTCTCYGGGTAGAAATCTGTCTTAGAAACAATCATATTAAAGTTCATTTTAAGGCRGTGCAGAACAGTATGATGTCATCTCTGTTTGCTGCAGATTTATCAGCGTTTTAAAATATTACCTAAATGGGGGCGTCTGTGGCGGAGTGGTTAGGGGAGTCGTCCTGGAACTGGAAGGTCGCTGGTTCGATCCCCCGTCCAGCCGTCTCAGTCGTTGTGTAAGACACTTCACCCACCTTGCCTACTGATGGTGGTCAGAGGGTCCGGTGGCGCCGGTGCATGGCAACCCCACCTCTGCACTTCACCCACCTTGCCTACTGATGGTGGTCAGAGGGTCCAGTGGCGCCGGTGCATGGCAGCCCCACCTCTGTCAGTGTGCCCCAGGGCAGCTGTGGCTACAGTGTAGTTTYCCATCATCAGTGTGTGAATGTGAGTGTGAATGGGTGAATGTCTGTWAGTGTAAAGCGCTTTGGGGTCTGGAGGGACTTGAAAAGCGCCCTATAAGTTCAGTACCATTTACCATTTATGAACATTTAGATTCTGTCGTGCTTGGTTTCTAAAGAAACGAATAAATGTAACAGGATGACACAATATGTGATCTTAATGAGTTGAAGCTTAACAAGCTGAMGATTAAAGTTGAAAATGATCAAAGATTATGTTTTAGGATAAATGCMTCTCTCAGAAGCCTGAAAACAGCTGAACACATGATGGTTCAATTTTACTTTTAATACTGCAGAACATTTTGTCCCAAGACAAAAACAAATGAATGGAAGAAGTGAAAAAGATCGTTATTCGTTCTGTTTCACATTATTTTTGCCATTTATTTAGGTCTTCTAAGCCTTTTATAATAAAGAATAAAGAAGTTTTTGATTTATTCTTCTAATAACAAAAAGGGCTTAATAATGAAACTTGAGACGGTCAGCTCCCTCATGGAGTCGTTTTCACCCAATAAAATTTCACAATTTTGACTTGGCAGCTGAACACAGGAGTCTTTGCCTGCTGTAGTGATACAYCTTTATTTCTCTGCACTGAAACTCGTTAGATGGAAATGTGTAGATTTTACTGTCATCAGTTAAAGAGACACCTGATTCAGACCGGCTGCAGTTTAGTAAAACATGAGCTCAACTGGTCAGAAGGTTCCGGATCGTTCACTGACTCCTCACTAGTCGTGTTTTCATCCAATTCTAATTCGAATTTTGAGGGAATTTTTAAATTTTAGCAAAAAGGAAAGAACGAATAAATGTGAATCAGACATGTTTCCATCAACTGGCTTGAAGCAAATCAGTTACGTCAGATGCATGCGTGTAGTAAACAGGAAGTAAAAGTCGCATCTCAGGAAAATGAAAAGTTATCAGGAATGCTTTGCTACTATCAGGAAAGTTGTAKTTATTCTGTTATCAGCTAGTTTTGGCGATTTTACATGCTGTCTGGAGACGTAGAGGAAGTAATGCAATTCTTTTCATGTTACGGGAATAACTGAGAATACGCCGACAGCGGGAGGAGGGTCCAGCTGCAGTCGCTCTGGTACCGGTTTCGGACAGACAGCGAGAACAGCTGATCAGCATGTGAGGTAAATGTTCACTACGTCAGAACGTATTCGACAAATGTGTTTCCATATTTCCTTTTGCACGTTAAGTCTTATTCAAAAAAACCAAAAACCACCTCAAGTGAGCGTATCAAATTTTTTTGCAAATTAGAGGAAGTTTTTTTGAATCATGCAGTTTCCATTCACCTTTTCTGATGCAATACTTCAAAATGCGCATTAAAAAACGCTGATGGAAACACGGCTACTCATTGGCAGTCAGACGCAGTCTTTTTATTAGTTCTTTCTAAAAATGTCACTTTTTCCAGAAATGTTTTGTTTTTCCAGAAACATTTTCGTGGCGCTGTAACAATGCCACGAAAATGCACCAAAAGCAGGAAATAAGGCACAAAGCATGTGCATAAATCTTGAGCACTATAAAATATGAACAAACAGAACCTCTGAGGTTAGGTTAGATGTGATATGAAACTAACGTTTCTGATGTGTTTCTGTTACATTTATTCCATTTGTACTTGGAAACATTTGCATCAACACCACTCTGTAAGTGGATACAGGACTTCGAACCTGCAGGGTTAGAGTACCATCATTCTAAACACTGGTGTTCTACAGGGCTGTGTGCTGAGCCCCTTACCTGTTTCCTGTTTTACCTGTTCAAGATKATTTAAATGACAGAAGTAACATGTCTAAACCTAACTGACTCGTACATTAGCAGCCAGTCTGGTATTTGTAAATAGTCTTYAATCTTAACTGTACTTTTTTCACTTAAATATCTCAAATAACTTTACTCCTCTTCTTTATACTTTAGGAAAACTTTGATTTAATTTTRAACAGCATAAAATACTCTGACAGTGGTTCCCAATAGAAGGTCAGGTTAGAAAGGAATACATTTCTTAATCAATAGCATCCTCATTTCCATACAAAAAAACTTTATTAAAACACAGCTGATTTAATGAAYTGTGGCTTTCTAATGCAGGATTTTACAAAYGTCTAAAGATTGTAGAAKGTGTGAGAAAATGTGTGTTTAAGWTGATGAGGTCACACAAGGCCGTGAGATTGTCTGGACCCAGTAAACTGTAATGATACTGATCACTCCAGCTGGACTCCTTTTCTTGTTCGCTGAAAAGGTTTTGTTTTTTTTCTATGAAGACCTTTCTGAATTCCAGCTGTAATGGTCAGGGTTGCAAACTTTAATACACATAAAACATACATACATCATCACACCTGGCGGTCTCAGTTGTGTCGGTTGATGTAATGAGGATCCATTCAGAGACAATATCAGACGTTTGACTTAGTTGGATGTGAGCCTTCATGAATACCAGGTCATAAATATTATAATCAATGTATTGCCAACTTTTCCACTGTGGAGGTACTGATACACCTCTGTAATTTTGTTATTGTGCATTGAAGACCCATCAAGTTGTAACACAGTAGTTAAAAATGTCCTCATATGTTACATGAGGCTATTTTTTTCATATCACCGTCCCATTGGGGAATAGTTTGATGGTCTGGCACTGACTGGCCACTTCGATTGTTTGGTGATTTTTGAAAATGTTCCCATGACATACGTAGTTCTCCAATGTAGTTAAGCTGCTATTAGTTAGCACAGGGAAGCGGTGAAATGGAAGTGCCACACACAAAAAAAACTGAAGTTGGACACATTTCCTTCCGCATTTG